TTGGTTCACAGAATCTTGGTCACAAGCAAGCAAGGGTTCATCTTTTTAGTTTCATTTTATATGCGGCGGGAAGCGGGAAGTTCTATCGTAAAAAAGGCTGAAAATATAGCAGATTTGGTGAACTTTAATTTCTACTTCGCAAATACAAGAAAAGTTGGATTTAAATGCCATCTCGATAGGGAAAATCAAAAACCCACAGAATGTAAATGATCTCAATTACGTAGAGTTCGTAAAATAGAAAAGGCTCGTAAATGTAGAACAAAACTCGACTGAATAGGAAGATCCAAAACCGAGACAATTTCTTTTAGAGAGTGGAAACAGATTTTAGCATAAAATTAGATTTTACACGTCTGGAAAGTTCATTTCCTTCAATTTGAGTCTTCTCGTTTTAAACGTCAGTGAACGTGATCGACTCTGAGTAATCTGTAGTCTTCATGCATGATGACAGCCTTTCATTACAAACAAGTTAACTCTTGGTTTATTTCAATGGAAGGATTAATTATAAATAACGAACTACAATATTTAGAGAGGAAGCCGCTGATTTTGACGCAGATCCTCATATCCTGGTCGAATCGAAATTTGGAGATGTTGGTTTTTGTGGAGTCAGGAAAAGCGGAAAACCCCGGAGAAAACCCCTCGGAGCAAGGGGACAACCAACAACAAACTCAACCCACATATGACCTCGGGCCGGAATCGAACCCGTGCCACCATAGTTAGTAACTATGGTGCCACGTTGGCGGGAGGTGAACACTCTCCCAACTACGCCATTCCTGCTCCCCATAAACATATAATTTTCTGAAACGCTATTACTTCGGATCTTTCAGTAAACCTTTTTCGTTGCTCACAATGTTCTAGTATATAGGCGACTTTAAAGGAGCTTGTCAGACTGGATGAACACCCTGCGTCGTTCGCTTTTCACAAATCATTTGAAGAGTCATATTTCAACTTAAAACGTGGGCACCTCATGCCAGGTTTTGTCGTCGTTTCATACCATCAATTTTGTCCAGATCAAATTGAAATGTCCGCACCATCCAATTGCTTGAAGAACTGAACATGACAAATCATTGCATTCGCCTTTCTTGAATACAAGATCATGACAAAAATCGTCTCAGCACTACACGACCTCATGGAATGATTGTCATATGTTCAGTCACTTTAGTTCCTTTGCGTATAAACTATCTCTAAGGGCAATTAAAATTGATTGCTTTTATTCGGTAAATATCCTTTCACAGGATTACCTAGATTTCCGCGTTGAAGTACAGATGACACATCATCGTAAGCCGGCTCTTCATTTTCTTCAAATTCCTCTTCTTTTAAAACAAAAATAAAGTTGGTTAAAACTAAAACCTCTTAGGTCTTCACGAAGTACATGTTTCAACACACAAGTATTAGAATAGTGAACTGGAGAAGTTAAGTTCAGATACAACAATAACACGCATGTATGGAGGAAGACGAACAACGCCCTCTAGTTAGTCACGTCTAGCTTATTTGCACATATCAGTGATTTCACGGGTAATTAAAATTGAACGCTTTTTTCGGTGAATATCCATTCAAAAAAAATACCTTGATTTCCACTTTGAAGTGCAGATGTCACGTCCTGATAAGAATCGTCATCTTGTTAAAACAGAAAAATAGTTAGTCAAACCTGGAAGTTCATTCGGTCAACATATGTCTGACGAAAACACTTCCCATGCATTCAGCCCATCCTCTTTGGGAGTACCAACCTGTGTCTTCCGAAGTCCGAATCTCCATCTTACCTGCTGACTAGCCAATGCATCAAAAACAGAGCTTCATTTTCTGGTTCTGGAACCTCTGTTGGTTAAGTGTTGTGTTTTGCCTGGTCTGGTAGGTGTTTATTTTGTTTTGCGTCATTGGAGATCACAACAACAGGAAGCTGTAATTAGTTCAAGGCTGCCATTTGTTTTATACATTGCGTAACAGACGGCTCTTCTCACGCGTTGGCAAAATACAAGTTAGTGAAGCCATGAAAGAAATGTGGAGAATCGGCTCGAGAAGAACCGCCAGTTACACAGGGTACCCATACCCAGGGTTGGCGCCTTGTTCAGGTCACGATACAACCAGGTTTTGTGTTATTTTCTCATTTAGTCCCTGACTACACTGTTGGGATCACGATGATCACGATGAATCAGTAAACGGTCATACGGTACGGAAATGATCGCATCTTTACGCAATGAACATTACACACATGATGTTAAAAACTGAAACGTTCGAAATCTTGCAAGAAAGATAGTAGCTTTTCTGGCTTGGAAATGCAGCTGTTCGCTGGAAGTTGGTGATTACTTCAGTACGTCACTAATGAACTGATATTCCATAATCTTCGGAAGGGCTTCTTATTGGCTTTGATCAGTGAGCTTTATACGACAGATCATCCTTATGACTGGATGCTCTGGAGCTTTGTCACCCGGAACGCTAGAACTGGAGGCTAATTTAAGAATCCGATTCAGTTCTGCCCTTTAACTAGTCTTGCTTTATTTTGATACCACAGCTACGACTACTATCTCATATAAATTGATAGTACACTCCAACTGAAACGAAGTTTTCTCATACGTAACGAGAGTTATAGAATTCGAAGTATGCTCATTTCATTCGGACTGTCGACGTGACAGGGGTCTTACGATACTGCTAATGAACCCACTTAACCAACTTTCCTCCTCCTGTTCCATTTCGGAGTTCATGCTAGGAAGATCATGCTGGGAAACTGGCGACTCACCTCTGACTGATTGATCATGGGTAACGTTGGCCCCTCTATCCTGCTGTACATTGCTCTCCATATCCTATTTTGATTAAGAACATGAAAAGAAAGTCGCTGAGCACGGTCGTCTAAGCGGATATAAGGCTAGTATGTACTTAAACGTCAGCTAGAGCGCAAGCAAAATCAAACAACGGGGATCAGTGAATGAGCGCAAATGCAATGGGAAACGGCTTTGAATAGACTACAATCGGGAAAGAAAGTTACACTATCGACAAATTAATTCGTGAAGTTGTCCAATTCGTGTTAAAGACAAATTGGAAGACATCGTTGTTGAAGGCCACCAGAAAGGAAAAAAAGTAGTACTTTAGTCGAGTAATAAAACTAATATTAGATTCAGCAGGAAAACAGAGACCTAACTCTACGCCAATTTAGGTGCTGGAAATAACACAACGAATGAAAACTAAAGACTTTTTAAGCAAACTCGTGATATCCATGAATAGATGACACTGCTAGTAAAACAAGTCATTTGGTGAGCAAATTGAGTGATTTCCAGCGGTAAAGTAAAACAAGTCATTTGTAGAACAAATGGAGTGATTTCTATCTGAAAACAACTATTATTTGAATTCGCAGCGAGCTGTGCGAATCAGTTGGGTCGCGGTGGTCGCAAATCAATCAGCTGGTTGACTGCGAGTTCTTCATGAATAATTCATTAGTTGCAGTTTGATTTCAGATGCGGTAATCTGAAGGTCGTGGGTTCAAATCCTGATGTGTTTTTCTTCCGAGCTACTAACGGATGGCTTGCGATTATATAAGCATTGGAAAGTAAAAACAAATATTCAAACCATAAAAGTTATCTCATTATACAAGGAAATGAGACAGAGATAATTCGCGGAAGAAAAACACTTTTGAACGTGAAACCCTCGCACATGATTTTTGGCAACGCTTCGGTTAAAGGTTGTCAAAGCTGTAGGAGAATCTTTGTTCACAATATTTGCATGTCTCATTACCATAAGCGATACAGTTTCTGATGGAGCTACAAAGAGATTAATACTAAATATTGGAAGGGCACAGCACGATTAACTGTCCCAAGGAATTTGAGCGCGATGTAGTAAATACTTTTTGTGCGACGCGCGTTTAAAAGCTCAAAATTTTACAAAGAATGTATGAGTTCATTAGCGCTTTTGCCAGAGAAATTTTGATGTTTTTGAAAGCCAATTTCTCCTCGAATATTACACCCAAAGAGCCAAAAATTTCAACACTTATTAAGTTTCACAAGCTCTTTAAGTTTTTTTAGTAAAACCGTGTCTAGCACGATGCCTTCTATGCGCAAAGTCGTATGTTAATGAGGAAAGATGTAAACAATGACGTCAGCAAAGATTCGCCTAGACACTATCGATCGAATTATACACCCACCTTTATTTTAAAAGTGTAAAATCTTGGAACACTTGCTCGTCTAAGATAAGTGATAATAGTAGTAGTAGTAGTAGTAATAATAGTAATAATAATAATAATAATAATAATAATAATAATAATAATAATAATAAACTTTATTTATTGAGTAATCGCTTAAAAACCAGTGGCCCTCATATAAATATCTACAAAACAAAACCATGACGTGTCTAAACTTAAAAATATAGAAACATTCTCAAATGTGCAACGATAATATAAAAAAACTAAGATATGAGACACTAAAATATTAGAAAGCAAAGCATTGGATCAAGTCTAACAATTAAAACAATTGAAAATTTAAACCATCACTCTGGCAGCCATTTGGAAAGTTTACAGATGAACGACGGTGGAACGTAGACAGTGTGACAAAGTCACGCTAATGAACTGAACGTGTGACTTTTCGTTTGTTTCGTTACCAAGTGATCGAATTATCTTGATCTCTTGAATTTTAAATCATGCGATTAAATGATTTCCGGTATACGTGCGCGTGGGTCAATCGGTCTATTGTTGAGTTTTGAAATTGTGAATCTTCAGTGTCACAAGGAGTTAGGCCGACTAGGAAATTCGACTTCACGGCTGATGGAGTCCCTGATGGAAGCTTCAAAGAAAGTTATGCTCATTTGCATAATTTGATCACTCCTGACTAGTACGCCATCACTCGTTAATTGACCGCTGAAAGAGTAAATTAACACCGGATGTTTACGAATAAATCTCACTATCCTTATAAGGGACAGACCATAAGAAAAGTGATGGNGGGGGGGGAACAAAAAATAATGCAAGGGAGGGCTACTGAAACAAACATCGTGCTTTATACTCTACTTTATACTTGGAAGCCACTTTATACTGAGCAACTTGCAACTTTATCGTCTTGCAACTTGGCAGCCACTTTATGCTTGGCAGCCACTTTATACTGCGTAGACGTCTGCGTAGCAAATTCATCATGGCCACTAGCAGCCAAACACCCTTGCAGAAAATCCTTATGGATAATCATGGCTTGGCAGCCACTTTATACTGCGTACCAACCTCATCATGGACACTGGTAGCCAAACACCCTTGCAGAAAAACCCTTACGGATAACCAATGCATGACTTAAAAGTGTTAAGAAAAACCATGTGCTATAAACAGCCATCCTGCTTGATTCGTTTGCATTTAAGCAGGCACATACCGTGTTCTGAAAGCCTCAACATACAGGAGTCATTTCACAACTGACATGTATGAATGACGATTGTGGACACAGATGTGCACACCAGCATGGCGAAACGTAACACTTTCCCTAAGATGGCCTCCAAGATCAATGTTGGAAAAACGTTGTAACCAAAGACTGGCATGGAGGTGTTAACACAACTGATGCGTTTAGTATGGGCTGTTCCAATTTATTTTAGGTTTTTGGCAAAGTAAACGACGCATTGTCATTCACGTCCAATCGATACATGGTACATAGCGGTTGAAAATCGTAGAAAACGCACCTAAACCCCCTAGACCCCCCTTCGTTGAATAAGCTCTGGCGGCCCCATATTTGCTAATGGACGGCCACTCACAGAACACTAACTTAAACCTTGATTCACTGCATGCCAAGAATGAATTTTACTACAAGAGCAATGAATCAGTAAAACTGATATTTCGCTAAACATCAAACCAAAAAGGCAATGCAGCCCTATTTTAGGCAATAGCACTTGCATGTGTCTGATACTTGGTTATATTTCCCTCGAGTATAATTCTGACAGGAAAGCAAAACGACTATGTGAAAGTTAAAAAATAATTGTTTGAACTTGGAGCCTGTTCCAGGCATTCAGATTGTGGCGAGTGTCAAGATTAAGATTGCGCATGAGCCATGGGCGCCTGGATTGCGGCAGAAGAATATCTCCCCCTCAAAAAAAAAAAAAAAAAAATATTTGGGCAAGGGACTTACCCCCCAAAAGAAATTCTGCAGAGACAGTGGACAAAAAAAAAAAAAAAAAAAAGAAAGAAAATAATAATAAAAAATAAAAAATAAAAAATAAAAATACCTGCAAGCTGAAAAAGTCACACCCCCATCACTTCTCTAATGGTCCTTCCCTAACTCATTCTAGCTAAGCTGTCACTCGTTAAAAAGTATACTGGAGACCACATGAGGGCAAGAAAAATATTTGACCTGGGCGGGATTTGAACGTGTGTTCGAACTTCTGTACTATTAATTATTAAATTTCCAGTTTGTCTATTACTAAGTCTTACTAGACTAATAGTGTTGCTCGCGTAGCTTAACATAACATTTAAGGATTATTCAGTGAGCCCACTTAGATACGAGGTGATAACAAACGAGTCGCGTAGCGCTGATTTTGTTATAATCGAATGAACGAATGGAATAACTGTTGTATTGAATAGACCAATTTCGATATATTAAAATTCAGCCTAACACAACAGACCTCAGCATGAGGCTCTGGGGAATAAACCCCACAAACTCTGTAGTTATTCCCCAGAGCCTCGTACTGGGGTCTATTGTTTTAGGCTGAATTTTAATATATCGAAATTGGTCTATTCTCCAATTGTCTGGATGATGTGGACTTTTCAGTTAGACCTAAACGAAGTGATGGTATGAAACAGGCGGCAAAATTTTGCGCACGTTGTCCACTATTGCGTTGAAAGAAGCATATCGGGAAGACGAGCGAGCATTGCCTTGCAAGTGTTGTCTACATGCTAGAAAATTGTTTCTCAAACTCATTAATAGTTAATCAAGTTTAAGGTGGCTTACTACAGTTTTGATGGATTAAAACAGCCCAACTTCTAACTCTTTTGAAAAATGTTCTAAGATGTTTTTCCTTTCTCTATTTACTGTTTACTTAAGTCTCTTACCATTCTATGTGAAACTTGAACAATTAAACGTCAACAAATGGCCAAATTGAACGACTGAGTACCTAAGGAGAGACTGGGCACTAGTACGTTAAATCACGTTTTTCTCAAAATCTGCCTGTATGACCACACCTCAAAATTTCAGGAATAAGAAATTGGCTCTAATTTAACATACATGCAAAGTAAAATAAAAATCTGTGCGACAGATTTTTCGCAAACTAAGAAAATGTGAAATCAAACACTGCCCAAAATCTGTCTTCCAGATTTTTTAAAAAGTTTGGCTCTAAACGTGATTCAATCCTACAAATCAACGGTGAAAATTTCATCATGGGTTGCACGGTAGGCTTTCGAACAATCCTCAATCAAAGACTGGCTTTTACAACCTTGGACGAGTTAACAAATTGACGTCAGTTTTTTATGCGTCTCTCCTCTTATTGATAATAAATTGCGTCATAACATTGTCAAAGTGGCTGTGGGACCACAAGCCGCAGGCGAGTGGTTCCGCAGTAAAC